TGCCGCCGAGTGTTGCCTCGCTCTGCCTCACAGTCAGAATTCTCCTCCTGTTTCACGTTGCCTCCATTGATGTGAAGCTCCCATTCTGGAGTTGAATCTTCATCTTCACATTTCACCATCTCCTCTTCATATTCCACCTCGATACCTTTCAAAGTGTCCCAGCTGGGATTGTCGTCTGCTTCTTGTTTCACGAGGGATGGGCTCATTGCGGCACTTTGACTTTCACAAGCTGACTTCAGACTCCACTCCTGGTGGATCTTCTGATGCGCGTGCGTTCTCTGGTGTACTTGAAGATGTGCTGACCGTGCAAACGCCTTCCCGCACGGAGTGCACTTGAACGGTTTCTCTCCCGTGTGTGTTCTCTGGTGTGCTACTAGAGTAGATGAATGTGCAAACGCCTTCCCGCACGGAGTGCACTTGAACGGTTTCTCTCCCGTGTGTGTTCTCTGGTGTATTTTAAGAGCATATGAATCTGCAAACGGTTTCACGCACACACTGCACTTGAAGGGTTTCTCTCCCGTGTGTGTTCTCTGGTGTTTTACAAGATTATGTGACTGTGCAAATACCTTGTCACACACAGCGCACTTGAAGGGTTTCTCTCCCGTGTGTGTTCTCTGGTGTGTTTTAAGAGCAGATGGCTGTGAAAATGCCTTCCCACACACACTGCACTTGAAGGGTAGTTCTCCCGTGTGTGTTCTCTGGTGTTTTTTAAGAGCAGATGAATCTGCAAACGGCTTCCCGCACAGAGTACACTTGAAGGGTTTCTCTCCCGTGTGTGTTCTCTGGTGTACGACAAGATTATGTGACCGTGCAAACGCCGTTCCACACACAGTGCACTTGAAGGGTTTCTCTCCCGTGTGTGTTCTCTGATGGATCTGAAGAACTGATGGCCATGCAAACGCCATCCCACACACACTGCACTTGAAGGGTTTCTCTCCCGTGTGTGTTCTCTGGTGCCGTGTCAAATTTGCAGTCGGATCCGTGCTGTATCCACGCCGGCCGCATTGTTGACTTGTCGTCCCGAGCTGCGCTGAGCGCCTTTGCTCCATCAGAGGAAGCGTCAGAGGAAGCGACAGCCGCAGACAGCAAGAAGAATATCCACACCACCTACACGTCAGTATGGAGGGCACAGGGGAATGCAAATACACACAGTCACACGCGACTCACACGTCTATGCAGTAAAAACCTTCGATTGCGAGCTTAATTCGTTCAGGAAACGTGTTTGCAATCCAAAGCACTCGTATATCAAAGCACTCGTATATCAAAGCACTCGTATATCAAAGCACTCGTATATCAAAGCACTCGTACATCAAAGCACTCGTATATCAAAGCACTAGTATATCAAACTCTTTGGTTTCTTCGGTAAAAGTCACGTAGGTCAAAAAGAAAACGACAAAATTAAATCACGACGTCTCGGGAGGCAATACAAGCCTCCGTCTTCAGATGGAACCGTCACAGCAAAGTGACCGTATCAAGTGAAGAGAGCCCTAAGAGACACAGCACCTCGTATACACCAGCTCAGGGCAGGGCGGCGGGTGACTGCAAAGGTTCAATACTCCAGCTGAAGACAGAGGCTCGTGTTGCCTCCGAAACGTCGTGATTTTAGTTGTTTTCTTATCTCACCGAAGTGACTTTACCGACGGAAACCAAAGAGTAGAATCCCTGCAGTCACGAAAGCTTTAAATCGAAATTGATATCTTCACATTCCTACAACGATTACACATCCAACTATCATTTCCTTAACAATCTCTACATCGCGTTCACTCACACACTCACTATTCACTCGTTTTATTTCCACGCGATGATGAGATTAGCCTCGTTGTTGTTGTTGTCGTTGTTGTTGTTGTTGTTGTCGTTGTTGTTGTTGTTGTCGTTGTTGTTGTTGTTGTCGTCGTTGTTGTTGTTGTTGTCGTTGTTGTTGTTGTTGTTGTTGTCGTTGTTGTTGTTGTTGTCGTTGTTGTTGTTGTTGTCGTCGTTGTTGTTGTTGTCGTTGTCGTTGTCGTTGTCGTTGTCGTTGTTGTTGTCGTTGTTGTTGTTGTTGTTGTTGTCGTTGTTGTTGTCGTTGTTGTTGTTGTTGTCGTTGTTGTTGTTGTCGTCGTTGTTGTTGTTGTGGGCTGGTCGCTTCTGATAAACGAGCCGTGGGCTTTGCCTGGTACAACAAAAGCCGTTAGACATTTCTTAAAACATAATTTTAAAGTAATCAGCCGGGTGAAGACAAATTCAACTGAAATCACCGAGTTTATATTCTTAGTTCTTTCGGTAAAGTCACGTACAAGGGAAATAATAAAAATAGTAAAAAAATGAACCCGTAAAAACAAAGTTTTTCACTCTAAATCCTTTATATGCGTGGCGGCTAGAGTCCTCTCGTCCTCTGGCTTGAGATGGCTGCCACCTATGGGTCAGATGATTGCATTGCAACCATTAAGCAATTGGTAATTAAATATACCAGTCACTCACCCACTCACCCAGTCACTCACCCACTCACCACCCACTCACCCAGTCACTCACCCAGTCACTCACTCACTCACTCACCCACTCAGTCACTCACCCACTCACCCAGTCACTCACTCACTCACCCACTCACTAACCCACTCACCCAGTCACTCACCCACTCACTCACTCACCCACTCACCCACTCACCCACTCACTCACCCACTCACCCACCCACTCACCCAGTCACTCACTCACCCACTCAGTCACTCACCCACTCACCCAGTCACTCACTCACTCACTCACCCACTCACTAACCCACTCACCCAGTCACTCACCCACTCACTCACTCACCCACTCACCCACTCACCCACTCACCCACCCACTCACCCAGTCACTCACCCACTCACTCACTCACCCACTCACTCACTCACCCACTCACCCAGTCACTCACTCACCCACCCACTCACCCACTCACTCACTCACCCACTCACCCAGTCACTCACTCACCCACTCACCCAGTCACTCAGTCACTCACTCACCCACTCACCCAATCACCCAGTCACTCACCCACTCACTCACTCACCCACTCACCCAGTCACTCACCCACTCACTAACTCACCCACTCACTACCCACTCACCCAGTCACTCACCCAGTCAGTCACTCACCCACTCACCCACTCACTCACTCACCCACTCACCCAGTCACTCACTCACCCACTCACCCAGTCACTCAGTCACTCACTCACCCACTCACCCAATCACCCAGTCACTCACCCACTCACTCACTCACCCACTCACCCAGTCACTCACCCACTCACTAACTCACCCACTCACTACCCACTCACCCAGTCACTCACCCAGTCAGTCACTCACCCACTCACATAATTATTTTTTTCCTAAAAAGTGTAAAAATTTGGAAAAAACATTTTCACGAACATTAATTGTCTCGCACAACGAGTCTGTGTGCAAAATGTCAGCTCGATTGGATCACGGGAAGTGGGTTAAAAAACGAGCGAAATATTTGCACGGTCCTAAGCAAGCAAGCAAGCGAACTTAATATAAAGGATTAAAAAGTGAATTCTCCCCACAAACTTTGCTTCTGTGACCCAGGACATTGATATATTTATACATTTAACAATTTTAAATAAAAAACAAACGCGGCGTGCATTTGTCTCATGCCTTCACGTAAAGTCCTGCTCACAAAAGCAAAGTTTGTGTGGAACAATAATAATATCCATTAAATCTACTGTGTAGGCAATTTAACAACAACACTCACTACACTTCACTAGGCAAGGCCAGACCTCGCGTCAGCTCGTGTGTTCTCGTTGTTGTTGAACCAATAAATATAATTAAGAAATGCAAGGAGACCCATGCAACTGTATAGGTGAACCCACTAAAATAAACTCCTTTTAAAAAATTGTTTAAAATTTTGTTAAATAAAAATTTTTTAATAAAAAAAATCTTTACGTAAAAAATTTTACTTTTTTTTTGAAAGGTGCAAGTGGACGACGTTTCGACCACGAGCCTTGAGCGCGACACACACACACAGAGACACACACACAGACACACACACAGAGACACACACACACACAGAGACATACACACAGACACACACACAGAGACACACACACAGACACACACACAGACACACACACAGACACACACACAGACACACACAGAGACACACACACAGAGACACACACACACAGAGACACACACACAGACACACACACACAGACACACACAGAGACAACACACACAGACACACACACAGACACACACACACAGACACACACAGAGACACACACACAGACACACACACACACACAGACACACACAGAGACACACACACAGACACACACACACACAGACACACACAGACACACACACACACAGACACACACACACAGACACACACACACAGACACACACACACAGACACACACACACACAGACACACACACAGACACACACACACAGACACACACACAGACACACACACACACAGACACACACACAGACACACACACACAGACACACACACACACACAGACACACACACAGACACACACACACAGACACACACACACACAGACACACACACACACAGAGACACACACAGAGACACACACAGAGAGAGAGAGCGAGATAGAAACTGAGTGAAGTAGAATAATAAAACTTTAAGTCTCGACACGTGTCGCAGCTGCTGCTCACCGCGTGTTGACAAGTCCCCGCGGCAGTGGCGCCCGCTTCGCGCGCCACGCGATTCCAGAGTTTAGGGACCGCGGCGAATCTTGATTCCACTCAAAGCAAAATATTTAAATAATAAAACGTCCATAGAAAAAATTGGCGTTGCTTTTAAAAGAGACGCTCGATTGATTGACGCCGATTTTTATCGATTGCTTTATTAATTAATCTTTAACGTGCTTATTTTAATTTTTATTTTGAGTGATGCTCGCACACGGAGGCAGGCGGCGCCTGATTGGTGAGCGAGCCGATTCCACAGTTTAGGGACCGCGGCGTTCTTCACGTTGCACACAAAAAAAATTGACACGCCAATTTTGACACAGCGTGCAAAATGTCTAATTGATTAGACACCAGGAAGTAGACTAAACATTTTATTACGAGATGTTGGCCACGACTAACAGAGGAATATCACGTGAAGCGTTGAAAAATATAAAGGGGCAGAAATTACTCCATCCAGAAAACATTTTAATTCAAACGCAGTACACATGCAACGTTGAGCCAATTTGGTAAACATAGCTGTACACACACAGACACCCACAGAGACCCATAGAGACCCATAAAGACACAGAAACCCACAGAGACCCATAGAGACCCATAGAGACACACAGAGACCCATAGAGACACACAGAGACACACAGACACCCATAGAGACACACAGACACACACAGAGACACACAGAGACCCATAGAGACCCACAGAGACACACAGAGACACACAGAGACCCACAGAGACACACAGAGACACACAGAGACCCACAGAGACACACAGACACCCATAGAGACACACAGACACCCATAGAGACACACAGACCCACAGACACCCACAGAGACCCACAGAGACCCATAGAGACCCACAGAGAAACACAGACACCCATAGAGACACACATAAACCCACGGAGACACACAGACACCCATAGAGACCCATAGAGACCCACAGAGACACACAGAGACACACAGAGACCCACAGAGACACACAGAGACACACAGAGACCCATAGAGACACACAGACACCCATAGAGACACACAGACACCCATAGAGACACACAGACCCACAGACACCCACAGAGACCCACAGAGACCCATAGAGACCCATAAAGACACAGAAACCCACAGAGACCCACAGAGACCCATAGAGACCCATAGAGACACACAGAGACCCATAGAGACACACAGAGACACACAGACACCCATAGAGA